TGTTTGTATGACTTCGTCCTCGGCCTCATCCTGGACAGCCTTACCCTTTCTCCTGGAGTCTAACCGGGCTCTGAGATCAATTTCTTCCCTGACGGGATGCCTTCTGAAGTCCTTGAGTTCATCGGTAAGCCCCTCATTTCCTGGGCGTCGTGTGGATTGGGTTGAGTCCTCCTCGGATTCATCTCCCTTCCTCCGTCTAGACAAACCTCGCCGGAGGTCGTCCAGGGCCAATGGCCTTGCTTTCCTTGAATGGTTGTCATGATGATGTTCGCCGGCTCTGGGTCGCTTTGGGGCCCTAGAGCTTTCACGAGAAAGGAATGAATCCCTCGACCCTTCGCCAGAGGCGGCAAACTCGTTGAGCCGGCTTAGGACGTTTACATTGTCCTTTTCCAGCTGACGTAATCTATCGCCAAACTTTTCTTCAATCACCTCCGCCAGCTGACGAGCCAAGGGGGCTGATCCCCCTGACCTGATTCCCATACTGGTTTGAGGGGTAACCCCTCTTGACCGAGTAGAGGCACTTTTATTCGTATTGGTGTGATCCCTCCCTCCGTGATGACAGGGAGCTTGTAACTCGAGACTCCTTTGGTGGGGTCCTTTCCCTTTCTGTCGAGTGTTCACCATGGTCACTGTTCTTTATAGAGAAAAAACTAGGAAAACTAGTCGTTTCCCACAGACGGCGCCAGATTGTGCGTGCAAGATCCTGCACAATATAAAAAACGAGAACAGATCTCTCCCTTGGTGAACTTCGAGTGAGCCAGTTGAGTGACCAACCACGCTGCTTGGAACAGCCTGCGAGGTCCGGTGGTAACCTGGAACGGCAACGAGAGACCCTGGGGGAGCGGAAGAACGATCAAGTAAGGTTGGAAGAGGTTCCTGGAACAAAGAAGAACAAGTTAGAAGGGCGCCGGAGTGTTTTTCGGCGTATCCCCTCCGACGATCTAGTCAGTCTTTTAGAAAGAGAGAGGAAGGAGAAAACACTGAGTGTGTAAAGAGTTTTTTGTTGCATACCCGTCTTGCCTTTTGCAAGGAGTATTTATACCTCAAAAGCTCATGATTGCTGTCAGTGTAGTTAGTAGGTGATCATTAGGTACAGACAGTGTGCGCACTGATTCTGATGAGGAATGTCTTCTCTTTTTAACTGCTCAGGGTCCCGAGCAATCAATGCTGGGTCATCGGGATGTCGACGGTACAATGTATTCCTCTCGGGGAGGATGCAATAAATGCTCTGTATTAGGAGCATTTATTGCCTTTCATTTCCGAGCCTTACCGCATTGAATGCGGTCTCATCAAGGGAATGGTGTAATTAATCGTTTGCTTTCCCAAGACGCGTGTCAGCAACGGCATGCGATTTCTCTGTCCATCCCCTATTGGCTGTGACCCCTGCATTCCAGTACGTTCTAACACTAATTGTGTAAGACGAGGTTATGATGAATAGCCTAGGCTAATGACCTGTACGTCAATAGCTTATCCTGGAGTAGAGGAGGCGTCCAGGACGGGGTACACCTCGGCACCGAGGAAAGGCTCATCTCAGAACCGAGGGAGGGATACCGACCGAGGTACCATATCAGACCGAGGCCACGTGTTGGTTGTAAAACGTACTGAATGCCATGATCCTATATGACGAGTACCTCGGGGGCGAGGACCTTTATGCGCCGATGGTGCTTGATCTTATCAACAGTGTTTTAGTAATACCGAGGACACGTGTCTTCATCATAGAGTATTTCAAAAAGTCCTATTAGTTGTGCACATATGTTGTCAAAGAGGTTTTTAATGTTTCTTTTCTTTGGCACTATGGATTTAATACATAGTGAAAAATAACCACCCCATGAAAGTAGGTAGAATTTTTTTCGAACCACTTAAAACTTATGTTGATTTTCTTGATTGTTCACCGTAGTGCACGTTCATAACAAATTCATGTATTAAGATTAGCAACTCAACATAGACATCGATTTGAGCACATGAAGAGCAAAATAGCTGCCATAATTTCGTTTACTCTTTGGACCGTGACATGCAAGACTATAAGAATACTGATGAGCCCGAATTTAACTGAGTTAGGCCCAATAAAAATAACTTAAGATGAGGCCCAAGCTAGTACCAAGAAGGAACAAGCACCCTAAGGAACCAAGAGCCCAACGCCCATGGGCTGGCTCCCTGGCTCTCCTTCGTCCTCCGCTTTCTCCTCCTCAGTCTTCCTCAACATCGTTGGAATTACTTCGACTCAAGTCCAACTCACTCCAATTCAAGTCCAAGCCTAGGATCAGGTTCAACCCAGCCAATATCTTTCTTCGAAGGAATAGGAACACGAGGGAGAGAATATCGGGATACGCACGGAGATTTAATCTTATTTTGATTGTACTTACCAAAATAGTAGAAGTTCTCTCCTTCACGTCACCGTCTCACTATTTTACTAAACCTATTAATGTAAGCTCTCTCCATAAAGAAAGGCATCTTAGCAATGACCTTTGAGACCTCTCTACACACCAAGTCTCTCTCTCTCCCAGAGCACTGTAATTCTCCCCGAGTACACTTTTCTGGTGAATTTTTTTCATCAATAAAGATCTCTGGCCACCAATGTCGTTCCCGAGAGTGGAATAAGTCACCCGAATTGAACCACTATAAATCTTAGTGTTAATTCCTTATTTACAATTTTGTCATTAATTGTTTATTCACTGCTTATTAATTGTGTCTCTTAATATATTCAACTATTGATCTTGTGCAATATCAATTTGNAGTCTCGGATTCCCTCCGTCTGAGGGTCAGCAATGATCCAATGTCTTTGGGGCGCTCACTCCCCGTAATGAATCGAGCCAGGAACTGTTTAGTCAATTCCTTCTAGGNAACTGATCCCAATTATTTTTTTTTATTTTTTTTTTGTATGAGTTATCACAGTTTGCGTTGGTAGAATGTGATGAATATGTAGTTCTCTGTAGAGTTGATATGGAAGCATGGCCCACTCAACAGTAGAGCCAAAAAAGAATTGGCTTTATGCCTCATATATAAAAAATGTCCCAAGTGTTAGATTTCAATACTGAAATATAGATGAAAGATTAAAATTTATTATAATTTAGCTTAATAAAAATATTTCTAAAAGATAAAGTCAACGAAATAAATTTTAAAATTTAGGTTCAAAATTGCAGTCCACCTCACGTATACACGTTTATTAAAGATGAACAAAGGTTAACATTTTTGATAAAAAAATATATATATAAAATTAGCATTTCTCTCTCTTATACAAATAAAAATAAATCAAACACATTTTTTACTTCCTTCAAATTCGATTTTATTTTCATTTAAACACAAAAACACCAACTAGTTAAATTGTTTATTCTCTTAAATGATCTAATAAAAACTAATTAATATCAAAATAAACTTTCAATAAAATTGTTATCAGATAAAATAAAACACAACAAAATAATAGGTGAACGTTGCATACATAAAGAAGTTAAGGATCATATAAAAAATAATAAAATAATTCAATAATAAGATATCAAAGAATTATGAATGTATACTGATAGTCAATCATGTAATATCACAATTTTCATGAAGAACATACAAGACAAATAAGAAAAACATAACAATAATAATGAAACAATAGATTGTATTCCGAAAACTTTGGTTCAAGTAATAGATGATAGAGACCAATAGATGTACAAATCTATTTTCTAAAAATGTGTATTTAGTCATGATGGTTTATGTTATTGATATTAAATAACACATATGTAATATTTAATATATATTACATGTCTATATTATTTAAAAAAAATAAATGACATCATCTTATAACGTTGAACATCTTTGCTATGAAAATACTTTGTGGCAATCCACACATTATTTTTGATCAATTAAAAAAATGCATAAAATATAGAATAATACATATATATTAACTTTAATCCTTGCGTGTTACCCAATAATAAATTTGTCTTACTTAAAAAGTTTCATGAACGTAGATTTGATAGTGAGGGATTAGCAGAAACTACAATTATTGTGAGATGCACAAAGACTTCAATTATTTGAATGAGAGCAAACACAGTAAGGCCGGGTCGAGGGCCCAAACACTAAAATAGCTACATATGGGCCCTAAATTAGATCATTAAAATAGTCGTCTAGAACCCCAAAAATTTAGAGCCCCAAGTTAATTTTTAGCCCTTAGTTCAGTTTTATATTCTAATACTCTTTTGAATAGACAAAGTTGAAAACCCAATATAAGTCTATCGAAAACTTTATAAAAAGTTCTAAAATATAACAATATTTTCACAAGTTCATATAAATCCTTATAGAAAATCTTAAAATATGACAAATTTTTCTAAAAATAATGACTTTTAGTTTTAAAAATAGCAATTTCTTTTAGTTTTTATTTTCTCTCCCTTCCGTTCTTATTGTCTTCCTTTGGTTCTTTGTCCTTATCTCTAATTTTCTTACTGTTTCTTTAAGACTTTATTTAATTTATTCATCTGTAAGGTTTCCTAATTTGCAAGACTTTAATCCTTTCCTATTTGTTTAACTTCTCTCCTTCCCTAATTTGCAAGAGTTTTATTTTGGTTTGAACTCCCAACAACTTTATCTTCTTTTTTTTTTAAATAATAAAAGTACAAATGCCACTAACCACTTGGTTTTTATTTAAAAAAAAGGGTAGACAATCCTCCTAATTGCAAGTGTGTAGCTTTCCTAATTTGCAAGAATTAACAAATAGTTTAACGTCTATAATTTTAATGGCTCCTACGATTTGCAAGAATTTTAATCGTAAGAATGCCTCTCTCAATCTTTAATCTCCTAAAGTGTCAATTAGGCCAGTCTTTTAAGTATCAATAGCATTACTCTTCAAAAATTATTGCAATCGAAGTGCTGGGAGAAAAAGAGAGGGATGTGGGTTTATTATGCACTTCTTAATTTGCAGGTATGCCATTATCATGCCATTCTTATGGAAGGGTAAACCAAGATGTGGTTGAGACGTGGAGTGCCACAATGAATATTTTTCAGAGAGTAGTGTCTCAGGCAGTATGGACAATGAACTTGTGTACGTTGCTCCAAGAGATGACTATCTGGATGCCCAAACCTCAGAAATTTCAGTAAGTAAACCTACGGTTTTTCCTATTTCTGAAGAGTTATTGATAGCAACTCATGCCTAAATTAATCGTGGTCCAGTTTTTTATTGGAAAAGAACATGTCCAAGGAAGAAATTCATAAAATTTTGAAAAGCCCATGGAGTTTTCTCTAAAGGTGACAGTATTGGGGATTTATCTCCACGAGAAAAGGAGAACAGGGGGGGTTCTATTTGGATGAAGAAACTAGTTTCATGGATCAATCTCAGCAACTTCCAGCAAGGTTGAATGGTGCAGAGAAATAGAAAAAGAGGAGAATAGAAAAGGCAGCTGCAGCGTGTCTTTCCATTAAACAGATTGACGATCTGATGAAAGAGGAGGAACAGAGGAAAAGCACAAGGAAAGAGAATGGGCAGCAAGTTAAGGAACGAGAGAAGTATGAAATGGAGAAAGGAATTTGTCCCAAGCTCGATATGATGCTCAGGTGGAGGAAGTGTCCATGTGAATCACAAGGTCCAAGTCCAAAGGGCAAGGAGAAGAAATCTTATGGATTTAGATGTCACTAATGCCTAAAGTTATCATTCGGTTTTTCGAATCTGGCAGGACAAATGCAGAAAAAATCTCTCTTTTAACCGTCCTTTATTACACATGCCAGCAAATAAATACCGGAAAAAACTATTTTCTTGTAATCTCGTTCTTATCATCATCACTTCAGGCATCAACTCCACTATCACCCAATCACCACCAACATCAATCTGATTGCACCGCTTCACTACCACTACTCCTATTTCTCTATCACTATTGTTGTCACCCCTACCAACATCATCCTGTCACTGCCAAACCAACAGAAATCAACACGCAAGACATCCTTGTGACTTTTTAAGTGATTTGATGGTGGAGAGGTTGTGTTGGTGGTAAGGGTTCTAGTGACGACGATGGTAGTTTAGGTGTGATGGTGGAGGCGGCAATGGGATGGTAGGGATGGTGGCAATAGATGTGACATAGTGGTAGCTGGGTGGTGGAGAGAAGGGGTAAAATTTAAAAAACCAAAAAAAAATTCATACTTCAAAAATAGAAAACAAGTTTCACAGTTTTTTTTGAAAATTTTGGAAACACAGAGACAAGGTAAATGAGGTCACAGCTTCGAGTCCCCTTAGCAATAAACGTCTTCTTTTTTTCTTCTTCCTCTCTCTCTCCACTTTGCCCAGCATCCTCATCTCCGACATCTTCACTGTGCTTCAGATCTCCATATTTCTCCTCTCTCTCCACTGTGCTTTAGATCTGCCCCTCTCTCTCTCTCTCTCTCTCTCAAAACTACAGATCTACACAGATCTGTGTATGTTTTGTGCGTGTATCTATTACATGTGTGTGTATGTACGCCTGTATGTGTGGTTGTTCTTATGAGAAGATAATGTGGAGAGAGAGAGGGAGGAAGAAGACTCCAAATGGTGGACACCGTCTGACTGCTGGAGAGATAAGTGTATTTTTTTTTTATTTTGGTCAAAAGTAATAAGTTAAAAATTAGTTTTGTGGATTATTGGTCAAACAGATTTTATAATTTTTTGTTTTTTAAAACTATTTTCAAAAATATATAACCAAACAGGTTTTACAATCTAAAAATTTTCAAAAACAATTTCTTAAAATTTTTCTCAAAAATTCTTTTCGGATACTATTTTTTGAGATACAAATAATCAAATAGGCCCTACTTTATTTTCAGTTTCTCAAGGTTGTTTCCCATCCTTTTTTTCTCATTTATGAGAAAAGCTGAAATCCACTACTATTTACCCATACTTGAGCATAAACAGTAATTTATCAGTATATAAATCTAAGATATGTAGAGAGACATCAACACTCATAAATAGAACTAAGCATGGCTTTGAAAACAGCAAGAGTGCAAATGCAAGGCGTTTCTGCTCACCAAGAAAAAGAACACTAGACCACTAAAGCTGACCCCATGTCCTGACCTGGGTAATTAATAGTCAGTATGCAATGGCATACACTGCAATACAAATGAGAAAGTAGTACATATGACTATATTTACCTTTGTGAGGGCATGTTGCCCCCCAACCCAATACTGGCTCTGCCATTATCCCCACCTAATTTGCATGGCTTAAACAGTCCAATCGAGACCATGTTAAGTACAGAAATCAGGAGTATTGTTTATGGTACTCATAATTGTCAACATGCACAATCCTCATTACGAACCGTGATCCAGCTCAACTTGACAGATAAACAAACACAAGTTGAGCTGGATAACAAAATTGAAGTTCCATTAATGTTGTTGGAAGACAAAAGGTTCGACAAGGAATACCACTCCAATTGTCGCATATCACAAGGAATATCAAAGTAATTTCCTAAGGGAACAAAACTTCTTAATCATTTATGCCAAAAGATCAATATTGCAATACTTGAATGGTATTACCTTTCTACAATGGATGTGTGGAGGTCCCCTGCTATGTTGCCATAGCCATGAGCTCTGCAGGACGTGTGTGGTCAAACCGACACGTTTCACCATACTTGCACGTGCTAGTCTTCATATCCTATGGAAAGTGTATGGTGCTCTGTCAACATGATCCGCCCCAACTAAACAATCATGTAACAATATATACATTTCAAAAGTTTAAAACTAAGGTTAATAGCACTTTTAATCCCTAAAATACGCTTGTTTTGTCATTTTGGTCCTCTCTGGATTGATTTTGTCCCTAAAGTTTTAATTCGTGTCACTTTGGTCCTTAATAAGATAATTTGTTGAGTTTTTTTACGGAAGTGGTCACGTGTCTCATTCTTTTAAACGGTGTCACATGCTCTACGCGTGATCATTCTGTCAAAAACTTAACGGTTAGTCTACGTAGGAATCATTTAAACACGAATTTAATACTTTAGGACTAAACTAGCAAAATTAATACTTTAGGGACCAAAAGTGTTATTAACCCAAAAAACACACAAAGAAAATATACATTCACAAAAGAAAAATATACAAAGATACACATAATAAAAACACACATTAATCCACATAAAAAAGCACAATGTTTCACATAAAAAGCACATACTATATAACACACCAAAAGAAAAATACACAAACATTATACAACAATAAACCACATAGTAAAACCCATAGGGTGTACATATGAAAACATACACACCAAACATCAGTGATAAAAGAAAAATACATAACAGACACTAATACATATTGTAAAATACAGACAAACTATACATATAAAAATATATACACAAAATCGATAAAACATATACACACAAAACTCAATTGTAGGGTAACCATATATGTGCAAGTAATCATTAACTCCGCCAATTGCTGACCACAAACAAGTTTAGAGTATGACAAATGAGAAGGAGGAGGAGGAGGAAAATAGGAGGGGTAGAAGAAGCAGCATAGCACTAAGTCAATATTGGTGGAGAGTAAGAAGAAGGAGAATAATAGGAACAAGAAGAAGGTGGAGTACAAGAAAAAGAAGGTGAGAGAGAAATAAGAAGAAAAATGAGGAAAATTAGGAGGAGAAAGAGAATGATGATGATGACGAAGAGAAGAATAAGGAGGACAATAAGAAGGAGAAGGAAGAGAAGGAGAGGACGAAGAAGAAGGAGAAGAAAAATAGCACTAAGTCAATATTACAAAGTACTATTTTGCCATGGACATATATTGTTAGAGAGGAAAAAGGAGGAGAAAGATAGGGATAAGAAGAAATGAAGTAGAACAATGAGTAGGAGGAGGAGGAAGAAAAAGGAGGAAAGAGGAGGAATAAAATCGGGAGGAGAAAGAGAATGATGATGATGATGATGTCCGGAGGAGGAGGGGGTAGACCATGTTAAGTACAGAAATCAGGAGTTTGTTTATGGTACTCATAATTGTCAACATGACAATCCTCATTACGAACCGTGATCCAGCTCAACTTGATAGATAAACACAAACACAAACACAAGTTGAGCTTGATAACAAAATTGAAGTTCCGTTAATGCTGTTGGAAGACAAAGATTCAAGATGCAATGTAATTTCAAAAATCACAAAAATACCACTCCAATTGTCGCATATCACAAGAAATATCAAAGCAATTTCCTGTCTAATAGAACAAATCTAAGGACCATGCAAACAAAGTTAAGAATCTGGAAGTAATGGCTTATGAAGTGAGCAAATCACATGCATTCATCAAAGAGTATTGTCAACTTGAGAGGTGAACTGGTGGATGCGAACAGTCACTTTTGTGGGGTCCTAGAGCCGCAATACAAGAAAGAAATATTGCAAGTACTTGGAACAAAAATTCCATTATAAGTTATATACAGAAGGGTAAACAAATTTTATATAAGCAAGATTTCAGAAATACAGTCAAAAGCAAATAATGGCAAAGAGGCCAGCAGTAAAGAGAATGATGATGATGAGGAAGAGAAGACGAAGACGAACAAGGAGAAGACGAAGAAGATGGAGAAGAAAAATAGCACTAAGTCAATATTACAAAGTACTATTTTGCCATGGACATATATTGGTAGAGAGAAAGAAAGAGAAAATAAGAAGAAATGAAGTAGAACAATGAGTAGGAGGAGGAAGAAAAAGGAGGGACGAGAAGGGGCAGGCGAAAGGAAAGAGAAGGAGAAGGAGGGGGAGGAAAAGGAGGAATAAAATCGGGAGGAGAAAGATGATGATGACGTCCGGAGGAGGAGGGGGGAGGAGAATGAAGAAGGATGAGAAGAAATAGAAGGAAGGAAATGGAGAAGGGGCAGAAGAAGGAGAAGGAGAAATAGAAGATGAGGAAGAAGGAGCGGGAGAGGGGAAAGAGAAGGAAAATGACGAAATTAGGTAGGAGAAAAAGAGGGATGAGAAGGAGGAGACTCATATCAATGAATTGCGAGGAACGAAAACTAAAACAGAATCACATAGAAAAAGAGCAATGATTCCATAAAACCATAAATTTACAGTGTATAGAGGCATATATATACATACATACTTATAAAGAGAGAGATTTAGAGAGAGGGAGAAGGGAAAACAAGTTAAGAGTTTGACTAATGGTAAGTAGGAAAAGAGGGGGGAGGAGTAGAAAAAGAAGTATAGCACTAAGTCAATATTACAAAGTACTCTTTTGTCATGGACATACATTAGTGGAGAGGAGGAGGAAGAAGAAGGAGGGTAGGAAGAAGAAAAAAGTGGAGTAGAAGAAGAAGAAGATTTAGGAGAGGAGTAAAAGATGGTGGTTTTACTTCGCGGGACTCTGATGTGCCCCTGGTCTTGTAGCAATAGGAGTCTTGTACGGATAGGAAGGGAATCCAAAGAAGACTGTGAATGAATGTAAATCATTGACCCCTTTATTAGCCAATGAATCAGCAACTGTGTTTCCTTCCCTGTATGTGTGCACGATTTGAAAATCAAATTTCCTTAGCTTTGGAAAGATTAGATTTGAAAGAGTCCAGAAGAAGTCTTCTAGCTGACGTAATCCATCTAGCAGGACACTTATCGGTACAATTGCCATAGAAATAGGAACCTGCTAATATCATCTGGCGCCACTGATTTCTTAGGATCACTCCTCCACCAGACAGTCTTGGATTGCCTTTCCTAAATCCTAAACCCTAACCCCTAACCTCCAAAACCCCAACCCTAAAACCCTAAACCCTAAACCCTAAACCCCTAAATCCTAAACCCAATACACAAGTAATGATAAACCCTAGACTCTATACTCAAAACTATTTTTCCACATCCATTCCTGAGCAGCCTGAAAACCCTGCGACAGAGTAAAACAGAAAAGATGGTAGTTCACCGAAAGGATAAGTCTGAGCTTTGTCAAGATGTCTGCAATGCGTACCTGTTGGAAACGTGCAGGATCATTACTGAACTAGTTGATCCAGGTAATTGTGTATAGCCAAATTCCTGCGATGTCAAAATATTTACAAAAGATTGAATGAACTAGATAATCAAACATTACAAAAGACTCAAACAGCAATATATAGGCCAATTTCAACTATGGACCATAATAACATGCATTGATCTGCTCTGCATGTATCAGAGCATGGATCACCAATAATCCAATGAACAAAAGCATAGTAATAAAATTTTCATATGCAATACCACTATGGCTTGGATATCACGTGCACGATGGAAAATTCCAACATAAAAATATGCTCCAGTCTAATAATATTCCACTCAATTTCCTCATTAAACAAAAATCATTAGCCTTAAACTACTACAATCACAACAAACTTTACCTGAATATTTTGGCGCCCCGCAGCCCTTGGAGTCTGATATTGAAATATGAAACCACGAGATAAGCAAGGAAACAGCTAAAACTAGAAATTTTGTTTTAAAAAAAAAACACATAACTATCACCAACCAATGAAGATTGAGAAGTTGGGACCAACTGCTGAGGGTGTCGAAGCTGGTTTTGAAGCTGTGTCTGATGTTGTATTGGGAGCTGCATTTGTTGTGTCTGAGGAATTTGCTGTGAACAGACCTTGAGGATGAGACAGCGTCTGGGGCTGTTGAACTGATGGTTTCTGCTGCTGCTGTTCATATAATGTAAGCTCCTCCAGTTTTTCCCACTACGGTCCACCACAACAAAATTTGTCACAAATTATTAAAAGAGTGATACAAATTCATGAACAGCAAAAGATGGAGAATGTAAGAAATTTACTTTGCTTTCACCAGTTGTACTATTATAAGAGTACTTGTAACCATCAGGAGAGGTGTGTTCTGTCCAATTACATTTTGCAGGAGCTACAGCCCGGTTTGCTATCGGAACAGCTAAAGCAGCAGAAGTAACAGGAGGCACATCTCCCACTGCTGGTATAGCAGGGGTGTTGGCAACCGTCTCTGGGATAATCCAAGGCCAAGGCAACTGCAGGAACGACAAAATCCTCAGCACATGACGTAACAAAAAGACATCACAATATGTGCGGTTGGAAATGAAAAGTGGATTTAATTTCAGGAAAGGATAGCTTTGAACAAGACAAACTGCTTCACTTGTCGAAGACCCACAACAAAACTCCAAACACACCCACCCATCCACACACACACACCAAGGAAATCAAGAAGAAACTAGTTTAGCCAAACACAAGATGAAAGAAGCCAATGGGTTGTCATAACAACAAAAGTTTACCAACACCTAAGCATGAGACACAACTGTAGTGAAACTGGGATTTAGAGCTGGTGTATCATACATAATATATTATGCCTAGGACCAAACTCAACAGTAAGAAGGAAATACAGAATCTCAAACCCAAATTTTCCAGGGCCGAACAACTAATCAAATGATGATGTCACATGTCTCAGCAATTAGGAAGTAACAACCAAGCAGTACCACATTATCAGTGTTGTCCTCAAGTATCTGGACAATTTTGTCAAACTAATCAATTAATTAGATTGTCTAAAAGTTCAGATTTATATACCTGTTGTTTAGTAGCTTGTCAACCCCGCTGCCCTGTTAAATGTTGATTTGATGGCTGCATCATCTGCAGATGTTGCAACCAATCTTGAAAGTTCACCTGAAGAGTTTTTTTCTGCTGTGAAATCATTTGAGCTAACTGAGAAGGTGATTGATGTTGAGGTTGAAGCAATTGCTGCTGCTGATTGGCTATGGAAGAAAGAGCATGTTGTAAATTACTACTCAAAAGGGGCATGTACTGTAGCAGATGAAGCATTCCAATCTTGAAAGTTCACCTGAAGAGTTTTTTTCTGCTGTGAAATCATTTGAGCTAACTGAGAAGGTGATTGATGTTGAGGTTGAAGCAATTGCTGCTGCTGATTGGCTATGGAAGAAAGAGCATGTTGTAAATTACTACTCAAAAGGGGCATGTACTGTAGCAGATGAAGCATTCTGCTGGACCTGAGGCTGAGAAACAGATAGCTGTCCATTCAAACCAAACAACTGTTGTGATGGCAATGCCTGACTGAGGGGGGGTTGACCAGCAGTGGGAGGTAGTTGTTGTTAACAAGTTGCCAGGGTGATGCATCAAAAATTTGCCTTTGTGGTTAAGATGCTAGAGTCTGAGGTTGTAGCTGCAGGGAAGATGGCAAGAGCTGTGGTGACTGAAGTGACTCCTGTAACGGTGATATTTACTGGTCAACAGATGAGACTTATGGCAACGATTGGGACTCTGAAGCAAAATGAAATGAAAAATGGGCAAAGAACTGTCATTTAAATACAGGAATCAATAGAATCGGATAAAAGCTAAAATCCACCAGCCTATACCTAGTGCGATGTAGCAGCATATGAAACTGCTAGTTTGGGGTGGGAACCATCTGCAACACCACTGGGACCACCAAAGGGGCCACCCTAAAAAATTGCTGCAAATCATAAAGCATGCTAGAAAGATGCTGACAAAAAGACAAAAACTAACATAAGAGGCTAGATAAATCAAAAAATAAGTACCATGTCTATAACTATTTGATCCAAAAAATTAGAGGATGTTAAAAAGAGGTCCAACCAGTAAGACAAGTTCTCACATGTTAATATTAAGAACTTCAACCCCCTCCCAAACAAGATAAGCAAAAAGGGAGAGAGGGAGAGAGAGAATCCAATGGTTCGGTTTACAAATCATCAATTTTTTTCTCACCAGAGTTGAAGGTATTGCCATATCACCCGACCTAGGAAGTGAATGAATCCTAAACCCATGTATGCCAGCATTAGAAGGTGGTCCCATATTCTGAGGACTAACTGGTTGCCATGCATTAAGTGGAATATGGCCATGCACAGCCTCTCCAAGATTTTGTGTTGGTCGGCAAATATTCATGAGGAATGTACATATAAGAACTTCAATGTGGATAACATCAAAGAATAAAAACAGATAGAAATGACCAAGGGAAATAAGATGAGGAGTATCTAATTCCTGGTGCTTGGAACCGAGGGCCAAAACCAGGACCACCCCTGGAAGAAAAGAAAATGATGAAAGATAACTTTAATGCTACCAAAAGTGGGACAGTTAAGACAAAAATATTAAGCTTTTTTTACATAGCTAGATAGATCTTTGTGGTTAATCCGCAGTCACAAATACAAAATTCTTAACATCAAATGAAGTCGCAAGTACCCTCATGTTTTTTGCACCAAACATCAACCAGTACATTTCCATTTGTTACAAAGATTAAGGGTACACTCACACCCCTAAGTTGCAAAGAGAGACAATCGGCAAACAGGATTCAACTAAAACATCAAATAACAGAGCAGCATTAAACAATTAAGTAAGCTTACTCTCATTGTATAGATTCCATTAAGAGCATTTATAGCAGCCAGCGCCATTTCTCTATGAGAAAATTTAACAAATCCACACCCTTCAAACAGTTTGAACATATGTCAGTAGAGAACAAAAAAAGGGTGATCCAGTGCACAAGGGGATATGGGGAGCAGATGTATGGAAAAATATACATATTACAAAAATATGTGCTACAGAAAACCCTAAGAAATATATATGCAATAGATTCGAAAGAAGCATCAATATCAATGTACTGTTACATACGATAGCTGACATTTCACTGAAAATTATACCCTAAAAACTCTAGATATCGCTTCTTTTTCCTTTTAGTCATGATCATCACACCCCACATACAGTTGTACTGGTAGATAGTCTTGATCTCACCCCGAGCCAAGATTTAAGGAAATCCATATTTCATTATTATTGCATCTTTTGCTTTTCAAAGAAAAATCACATTTTCAAACCTGAAGTAAAGACTTCTTTTACTTCAAAGATACCAATATAGGACACCACAAGGGGAAGAAGAAGCAAGGCCAAAAAGAGTTCTGCTTCGAATCCCACTATATGCAGGCTAGCTTCATTACAAAATCCAACAAAAAAAACAGAACTAAAAAAAAATGCGAAAGGGCAAACCACGACTCTGCCTCATTTCATCAACTCGGCCATAAGGTGAAAATATCTGTCAGAGGAAACCCCGTATTATGATTATAAGTTAGAACTATTTCGTATATAAACACTATATATGTAGACAATAATATGTGGAAAAAAACATCTAGTATTATTTCCAACGAAAAGAGAGAAAATCTAAAGATAAATTTCATTCTGAAGCAGAAGCTTTTTCTTTATCCTTTTTTTGGGAGGGAGAGAGAGAGAGTTTCACCATTCCCCAAAGAAAAATGAAAAGCATGGGGAGAAAATGTACACAAAATAGGCTAATCAATATACACAAAATATACTTCCTCAACTTCCTTCTCTGTAGCTTGTTTGCTCAACAAACCAACAAATAACTTAATACACAATTGCACCTAACACAGAATGGGACAATAAAAGATTCAAAAATTCATTAATAATATTCATTAATAAAGGATTCAAAAAGGGACAAGCAGATATACTTATTTTTCCACTCCCAATTCAACCCTCCTTATTCCTTCATATTCATAAGCCAGCATTCATCCCACAAACNGGGAGCAGATGTATGGAAAAATATACATATTACAAAAATATGTGCTACAGAAAACCCTAAGAAATATATATGCAATAGATTCGAAAGAAGCATCAATATCAATGTACTGTTACATACGATAGCTGACATTTCACTGAAAATTATACCCTAAAAACTCTAGATATCGCTTCTTTTTCCTTTTAGTCATGATCATCACACCCCACATACAGTTGTACTGGTAGATAGTCTTGATCTCACCCCGAGCCAAGATTTAAGGAAATCCATATTTCATTATTATTGCATCTTTTGCTTTTCAAAGAAAAATCACATTTTCAAACCTGAAGTAAAGACTTCTTTTACTTCAAAGATACCAATATAGGACACCACAAGGGGAAGAAGAAGCAAGGCCAAAAAGAGTTCTGCTTCGAATCCCACTATATGCAGGCTAGCTTCATTACAAAATCCAACAAAAAAAACAGAACTAAAAAAAAATGCGAAAGGGCAAACCACGACTCTGCCTCATTTCATCAACTCGGCCATAAGGTGAAAATATCTGTCAGAGGAAACCCCGTATTATGATTATAAGTTAGAACTATTTCGTATATAAACACTATATATGTAGACAATAATATGTGGAAAAAAACATCTAGTATTATTTCCAACGAAAAGAGAGAAAATCTAAAGATAAATTTCATTCTGAAGCAGAAGCTTTTTCTTTATCCTTTTTTTGGGAGGGAGAGAGAGAGAGTTTCACCATTCCCCAAAGAAAAATGAAAAGCATGGGGAGAAAATGTACACAAAATAGGCTAATCAATATACACAAAATATACTTCCTCAACTTCCTTCTCTGTAGCTTGTTTGCTCAACAAACCAACAAATAACTTAATACACAATTGCACCTAACACAGAATGGGACAATAAAAGATTCAAAAATTCATTAATAATATTCATTAATAAAGGATTCAAAAAGGGACAAGCAGATATACTTATTTTTCCACTCCCAATTCAACCCTCCTTATTCCTTCATATTCATAAGCCAGCATTCATCCCACAAACAACTGAAAAGAAGGCACATTAGATTAGGTATGTACAAAGAAAATGAAAAAAAAAAGCAAATATACATACATACTAGATTGCATTCCCCACATACTTACACAACACATACAACATTTAAATATGCAAAGTACTTCAAAAAAAACAAAGGACATCATACAAATCATGGGAGTATAACTCCTCTTACGATCTACTAAGTATTATAAGTTTGCAATTGATCCATCTTTCAAACTCCGCTACGAAAGTTTCATTTGAAGGCATTGGAAAGTGAGAAAGATAACAATATCAATTGACCATGCAATAAATCTAGAATAAATACTAGTTAGACATACATCCCTAAAACCCTAAAAAAGAGGAGGAGAAAGAGAATGAGGAGGAGGAGTAGAAGAAAGAGAAGAATAGGGAGTAGGAGGGGAAGGAGACAAGACAGGAAGAATAAGCAAAAGAAGGAGGACTAGGAGAAGAAGAAGATATGGAGGAAGAAAAGGAAAAGTAGGAGAAGGAAGAAGAGGAGGAGGAGAAGGGGAAGAAAAAAGGCAACCTTTGGACAAGCAACAGTAGTGCACGTATTAAATGGAAAATAACACTCCTGCACCTCTATTACAAGCCTTCACAAAGGACAGATGGAGAGAGAACGAAGGATTCAAGCACTAGAAGGAAAAAGGCAACCTATGAAAATGAAATTGTTTGTATTCTCAAACACATGGAATTCTTTCTGGTAAGTATCATACTCAATTATCTATAATATCAGTTAATTTGAAGACACGATATTTCATAAAAGTTATCTTCCATATATAAAAGAATAGATTCTTGAGTCCGCAAAATACATCCCAATTAGAAGAAATAATAGGGAATAACTAAAAACTTCTACTGCAAAATCGGTATGCTTCTATTATTTAATTTCCTAATTCTATTAGTAGTTTCTGCGTGCTAAAACCTCATAATTTTCATCCATACTAAATTTAATCTTTTGCTCCCTCCCAAGTAATTGGATTTGGTTGCCAACGTTTAACAATTTTAATGAGAAGATAATAAAAAAGAAATAAGACATAATTTATCTACTAGAAGAGCAAACATAAACACATATAAGCAAAGAAATGCTATGCAATTATTGGTTGTGTACAACACAAAAATAACAACGAAAAATGAAAAGAAAATTGTGGGTTAATGAGAGTGTTGGGGGTTAAAAGTAATACAAGAATGATTATAACAAGTAAGAAATACAAAAAGAAAATAGAAATAATCATATTTTACATAAAAAACAAAAACAAAAAAAACCAATAGAAGTGAGACAACCAGATATACTTATTTTTCCACTTTTAAACTCGTTTTGCCAGCATCCATTCTACAAACAGTTGAAAGAAAGGCACATTAAATTAGTTATGTACAAAGAAAATGAAAAAAACTTTAAAGAAAACAAAGAGCAATAAGGAAAAAATAAAAAAACGAGTGTCATGTCCACTCACTTATTCGACAAGCAGATATATATACATACTAGATTGCATCTGCCACATACTTACACAGCACATGCAACATTTAAATACACAAGATACTCCAAAACAAGCAAAGGACATCAATAAATTAGTTAATCATTATTAACACGAATCGCAATCATGCATATCATGGAAGCATAACTCCTATTATGATCTACTAAGCATTATAAGTTAAGCAAAGGACATCAATAAATTAGTTAATCATTATTAACACGAATCGCAATCATACATATCATGGAAGCATAACTCCTATTATGATCTACTAAGCATTATAAGTTTGTCCAATTGATCTATCTCTCAAACTCCACTACCAAAATTTCATTTGAAAGCATGGAGAAATGAGAAAGATAACAAATATCAATTGACCATATAATAAATCCAGAATAAATATTAGTTAGACATACATCCCTAAAACCCTAAAACCAAGAAGATATATTTTATCTTTCCACTCTCAAACTCATTTTGTAACCTCATCTACCCAATTCAACCTTCCTTATTCCTTCATAAGTCGGCATCCATTTCACAAACAACTGAAAGAAAGACACATTAAATTAGTTATGTACAGAAGAAATGAAAAAAGACTTAAAGGACAACAAATAGCAATAAGAAAAAAATAAAAAATAAAAGAACGAATGACATGTCCACTCACTTATTCGACAAATAGATATATATACATACTAGATTACATACACCACATATTTACACAAAACATAGAACACTTAAATACTAGATTACAAGCAAGGACATCAATAAATTTGCTAATCATTATTAACACGAATCGCAATCATACATATCATGTAAGCATAACTCCTCTTATGATCTACTAAGCATTATAA